TTTAGGCCTCTCAACAACCTTACGAAGCAAGATTACTGGGAACGCCATTTCAGAGAGCAAGAAAAGGCCAGAACTCAGGGCTCAAGCTCTCGATTTCGGCATCTTTGTCTCCCCCCAATCCCTCCCGCCAACACCTCACCAATAACGCGTTCAATTCCTCTCAGCGCATTTTCTCCAACTTCACCCAACCTATTTCCTAACCGGGTAAACGAAAGTATAAAAGAAAACAACTCACGCCAGGCTCCAAGTCTATAAAAGCCCGGCTTCCTTGATTAGAAACGCAGAGGTGCCGAGAAGCCACCAGATCTGACACCACCAAGGTCTGCCCTACCCCTCACACACCTGGTAGCACCTGGGCCGAGGTGTTCCTCCAGCAGGTTCCACCAAGGTCTGTTCTAGGCTCTGCCGAAGGGGTGCCAGGGTCCCTAGGCAGGAGCTGCAGGAGCACTTGGCAAAAGGGACCAGGAAGGACCCCAAACATGGCGAGTGCAATGGGAGACAGGGCAGGGAGAAGACTCCCGTGTGGGGTGGGAGCCCAGGAAGTGGCTGGCTCCTTGCTTCTCAGCCTCCAGTCTGGGTCCAGCTCCCACTCACAACGGCAGCTGTGCCCTTTCAAATGGCGACGGCCGGCAAGGATGGCCCTTCCCTCTTCCGGATTTCTTGGTTTCACTTCCGGGTCAGAACTCCCGCAGCGGAGGAGCGGAGTCTGCTACTCAGTGACTTCACGCGGGGCAGCGCCAAACCAGCCACGGTGCCCCCCAAGGAAAGCAGCAGGAGCTGCAAGTCTGACCCTCCCTGGCCAGGGGTTAAACAGTTACCCGCACACGCGGCCCCCTCTGCAACAAATCATGGGAGACTATGATCACCAGGGGCTGAAGGAGAGCGAGTGGGCATTTCTGAGGATGAAGACACCCAGTGCAGGGAGAAGCTCCTTCCTAATGCTGGGAGTCTGGGTGGGGGGCCCCGGCCACCTTCATTCTTCAACAGGGGGAGGGGAGAGAAAGTTCGAGAAGCGCTGCATTGCCCAAGTGCCCAGTGCCAATGACCAATTAACCCCCCCAACTCCTGGCTCAAAACCGGTGCTCCTGCCACGAAACCAAGTGGCCTCCACAAAACCAAGCAATCTGCAAGTCAAGACTTCCCTTGCACTGGTAGATGGGGCCAGGTGCAGGGTCCCCACACCCAGGGCAGCCTTGGGCACAGCGCCCTTTTGGAACGGAGGGGAAGGGTCCTCTCTCCCTCCCTGCCTGTCTCCCTCCCCTGGCCCCACGTTCCTTGCTGCCTCCCCCACCCATGACGGCTTACCAGCTCACTCACTCATGGAGCAGGTGAAGAACATTCCCCGAGTGAGCTGGCCCTTCAAGGGGACGAGTTCAGGGTGAGGTTATGTCCATCAGCCTTCAGAACACATTCCTGGCTTATTAATCTCTCCCTTCTGTTACGCAGGCGAAAGTAAATAAGCGGTTCTCAGGCAGCCTGGGGTGGGGGTGGGGGGCTCCCCTATTTAAACACAACAAGAGCCAGCAGGTTTGTAGGTACTGAGCTCCCAGGCTCTGCTTCCCGGGGGGTCTTCCTGGCCTCCTGCCCACAACCTCCAGCCCAGCCAATCTGCAGTGGGAGGCCCCACCGACCAGCGCTGGTCGGTGGGGCCCTGGGGGTGGCTCCCAGTCTCCAGAGAGAGAGCAAGCAGAGGCCCAGCATCTGGGGACCACCAGAGCAGGGCAGCAAGGGTCTAGCAAAAACACTGGCTGCCAACTTCAAAGCCCACTCAGTCTCTCTGCTGGGAAAGTTCTTTGTTAACAGTGTTTATTTGCTGCTTGCTTCAGTTGGAAGCATATTTTTAAAGGCTCAGAATTTAACAAGTAGGGGCCAGTGCTGTGACGTAGTGGGTAAAGCTGTCACCTGCAGTACCAGCATCTCATATGGGCACCAGTTCGAGTCCCGGCTGCTCCACTTCCAATCCAGCTCTCTGCTATGGCCTGGGATAGCAGTGGAAAATTGCCCAAGTCCTTGGGCCCCTGCACCTGTGTGGGAGACCCGGAAGAAGCTTCTGGCTCCTGGCTTCGGATCAGAGCAGCTCTGGCCGTTGTGGCCAACTGGGGAGTAAACCAGTGGATGGAAGACCTCTCTCTCTCTCTCTCTCTTTCGCTTCTCCTCTCTTTGTGCTCTGTGTAACTCTGACTTTCAAATAAATAAATAAATCTATAAATAAATAAATAAGTAAACAGCAACCGAATCAAAAAGGGTCAGAGAAGCGAATGAACCAGCCAAGGTCTGCCAGGAAGCACATTTCAGAGTAGGATGCACCAGGTGTTGGTAAGCAACTGCTCAGGACTCTCGGGCCTGGGAGAACCCAGAGCCTCCAATGCTTTCTATCAGCTTTTGTGGCCTGCACAGAAATCTCAGGAGTTCCCCATCCCTTGTTTTGTTGTTGATATTGTTGTTGTTTTTAATTGTCCCCCATTTCTTCATTCCTTATTTGGAAGGGAAAAATGCCATACAACCCTGCAAGAAACCCAAAATCAGGCTGCAGGGACTTGGGAGATGGGGGGGGGGGGGTGCAGGGTAGGATGGGGGTGGGAGAGAAGAGAAAGAACGTGCATTAAGCTGTGACTTGCAGGAGGTCAGCGTTGTGCGGTGAGATAAGCCATTGCCTGCACCACCAGCATCCCATATAGGCCCCAGTTTGAGTCCTGGCTGCTGCACTTCCAATCCGGCTCCCTGCTTATATGCCTGGGAAAGCAGCAGAAGATGGCCCAAGTGCTTGGGCCCCTGCACCCACGTGGGAGACCTGAATGAAGCTCCTGGCTTTGGCCTGGCCTAGCCCTGGCTGTTGTGGCCATTTGAGGAGTGAATTAGCAAATGGAAGATCTCTTTCTGTCTTAATCTTTCTCTCTCTGTAATTCTACCTTTCAAATAAATCTTCAAAAAAAGATTTGCCTTTGGATGCATTGTGTACACAGCCCCTGCTCAGGGCTTACAATATGCACAGAGCCCCAGGAGCTTGTCCAAGTGAGTCCCACATCAGGCAGTGGCTGATACCACATCAGGGACAGCAAGAACTGAGATGGCATTTAAATGTCTTTAGCTTCAAAACTGCTGTCCCCTGGAGCTGAGTTGCTTTGTCCTCTGAGCTTGGCTGGGACAGGGAGAGTTTCCTCCCCCCACCCAACCCTGCTCTGCAGCTCTGGCCCCCGGTGCTGCTGCCTTCAGACCCCTCTCATCACCATTTCTACACGTGGCTCAGACAAAGGTACTGGAAGACATGGCAAACAACCCGAGACCAAACCGTGTTTGCCCTGCCCCAGTGTGGCCCCCAGCATGCCCTGGGACGCATTCTGCACCTCCCACCTGATGACTACTGGCCTCCTATGCACAGGCAAGTTCTGAGTCTGTTTCCTCACACTTTCCCTCCACGTGCAGACTCTTCATTCTCAAACCTACAGGCCACCTCCTAGCTCTGCAAGCTCCCCTATACCTCCGGACAGTTCTATGTGCAGAGGGCCGGGGTCTCCAGAGTGGACACACATGCCCAGGACCAGGACCCTGGGTGCAGGCCTGGATTGCTCTCAGTCAGGCACCTGGCCAGCAGGGCTCTGTGCCCTCTGCATGGCCAAAGCCGGGGCCACAGAATCATTCTTGCACTGAGGACTGGTGGAGCCCAGGGACCTCTTTCTCAGACTGGTGTTTTTTGATGCTAAACTACAGATGGTCCCCGACTTACGATGGTGGCGCTTAACAATTTTCCAGCTTTACCACAATTCAGGAGTGATACGCATTCAGTAACAACCATACTTGGAATTTCAAACGTTGACCCTTTCCTGCACTAGCGAGAGGCAGTTCCGTTCTCTCAGGCCATGCTGGGCGGCAGCAGCGAGTGCAGCTCCCAGACAGCCAACACCACAGCACTCTGTCACTGAGAAGCCCGGTAGCTCACGTGTGTTCAATACATTTCAACTCACGGCATTTTCAATTTACAATGGGTTTATCAGGAGTCGCTCCACCTTAAGTCAGGAGCTACGAAAGAAACCAGCAGCGCTCAAGTCTAGTTTTCCAGATAGCTTTAAAAACTCAGATTGATGGCACAGTTATGTTATTTGTACTTCTTTTGTAAAACTTAAAAATATTTATTTGAGAAGCAGACAGAGAGAGACAGCTCCCATCTGCTGGTTCACTCCCTAAATGCTTGCAATGGCTGGGGCTGGGCCAGGCTGAAGCCAGGAGCCAGGAACTCCACCCAGATCTCCCATGCGGGTGGCAGAAACCCAACTACTTGAGCCGGCCTCTGCTGCCTCCCAGGAGCACATTAGAAGGAAGCTGGAGTTAGGAGCCAAAGCTGGATAGCAAACGCAGGCACCTCGAGGTGGGATGTGGGTGTCGTAACCACCGCTAGGCCAAGCACCCAACCTCTGCTTCTCTTCCCAATGATTCTAACTCAGGCCCCAGCCGCAGGTCCAGTCACTCATTCTGAAGCAATCACAGAGATCAGAAACCTTTCGTGATGTCTACACCACCAAGAACATGCTGTGAACATCGCTGTGAATCCTACCGATGACCATGCCTCGGGCAGTGTGGACAGCTGTGGCCTGGCGCCTGCCTTCACCATGGAGCGAATGCTAAATCTGCAGTTAGAGGCGAGTGATGGTGAAGATGTGATTCTCTTCCCGTGCCAGCCCCCGGCCCCCAGGTTCTGCTGGTGGGCCCCTGTGCCCGCGACCAGGCGCGGCCCCTTTCTCTTCCGCAGGCTCAGGAAGGAGAGACACCCTCAGCTCAGACGGCGGCAGCTTCTGAACCTTGTGGACGAGTGGGAGAAGCTCCACTTTTGTTCTCCAGGTTTAGGAGAGAGACTTAGCCTTTGGGAGTCCCCAGACAGTGGCTCCTTCCTCTGCACTGCTGTGGGCATGGAGGCGTCTGGGTCTCCTAGGCCCCCCTCTCCCTTGCCCCTTCCCACCCCACCCCAGAGCAGACGTGACAATAAGCAGCCCTGGGGACCAGCTTACCTTCAGGCTCCTCCACGCTGCTGGCCGCAGTGGTGGGCGGGGCCACAGGGATCTCTTCGTAAGGGTGAGGACGAGGAGGAAGAGAAGACAAGATGATGTTACTTAGAGCTAGGAAGACAACCGGCCCAGCACCGACTCCTCCCAACCTGCCTGCGATCCATTCCCCCCGGTTCCTCTCCCCAGCTCAGGAAGAGGAAAGTCGGGGAGAAGAAGAGCCTGCAGCAGGTCCTAGGGGACCCTGGGCACTCTCTGAAGGCTGTCCCCTCACCTGGCAGGAAGGTCACAGCTCCAGGCTGCAGAGGGACAGAGCGAGGAGAAGGCAGGAGCGAGCTGGCGGCATTCAGCCCTGACCTGGCTCCACAGCCCGGTGCCTGGCTCTGGTGTTTGTGGGTCATCAACTCAGAGGGAAGGGATGGCAGAGAGGGGTTTCCCCAGGCCTTTCTGCTCCCAGGGGTTGGTTTCTCACACCAGGAGAGGGGAGCCTGCAACCCTGGCCCCAGCTCCCGAGGGCGTGCATCTCCCAAGCTAAGGCATTTCCTCAGTGGGCGGACGACGGGATGCAGGTGCAGAGGGTAGAAGACCCTGAGAAGCTTTATTTGGCTTAGGCTCTTTCTGCCTGGGAGAGCAATTTGTTCCAGCTACGTCCAGGGCCTGACCCCGTGCTCCCCACTGCACGTGGATCCAGTGGCCAGGCCAGGAAGTTGGGCTTCCTCTTGCCAGACACGGTCATACCACGGGCTGCAAGTCCTCAAGAGTAGGGGACCTTGAACCCCACTGACTTTTTAGGGTAACTTTTCCCTCTGATCCTAGATCAGCTGGGGCCTGAGGCTTGGTGGGTGGGGAGGAATCCTCAGGCCGGGGTGCGGATCTAAGAGTTACTCGGAAAACGAGGCAGGGGGTGCAGACCTCAACGTGGAGCCCAACCTTGCTGGTGGGTGATTTTATGAGCAATTGCTCCGCACAACTCCCTGTCACAATGGCTCACTAGGAAGCCAGGCATTGTACCAGGCCCTTCCTTAGCCCTAAGAGGGCAACTGGTCCCAGCAGAAACAGTCCAGAGGCAGCACCTGAATGGCACAGGCTGCAAGTCCATGAGTCGGGCCAGGACCAAGAGCCAAGGAGCCATACGGGGCACCAGGCCTCAGCACCCACACAGGCCTGGCTCAGGAAGGGGCACGGAGGGCCAGAGCACCCAGGCATTGTGCAGGCACCAGGAGCTGGGGATCCTCAGGAGGGGTTCATGGGCGTCCTGGGATGGAGCCCGGGTCTTCAGGCTGCCAGGTGGGCACGCCCTTTGGGGAAGGAAGGGAGGAAGCACAGAGTGGGGTGGAAAGTGAGGTTTCACCCCCCACCGCCCCGCAGGTTTCAGTGTGATTTGACACATCCGCTCCTGGTTTAAGCGTGTTCCTTCCACGTTGGAATTGGAAGGGTGGGCCCAGCTCTTTCTGGACAACCTGGCATCTCCTGGCTCCTTTTATAGGGGGACTTTAGTTCCCTGATGCTTCCTAACCCCGATACTTCCTAACTCCCAGCTTCCTAACAGTATTCGCGTCTGAGCATGTGGACAGAGAGAAGAGAAAGATGTTTGTTTTTATTTTTTTACAAGTCTGACGATCGGAAGTTCTCATGAAAACCATTCAACTTGCTCTGCCCCCTCTAGAGATACCAAGCTCCAGTTTCCAGGCTGGGACTTGGGTCAGGTGCTCACAATCGGCCCTGGGAACGCCCATGTAGAAACAGCTCCCAATTTAGAAGCTGCCCCATCCGCTGCAGCCCAGGTGTGCCAGCGGCAAAGGCCACACCTGATCAGACAGGTGAGGCGTGGCCCATCTCAGGCTCCGGTCTCGTGGGGAAGAAGACTATTCAAGGAAATGAGTGGGGTCCCAGCTTGTGCCCGGCCTGTGGTGTTCTGTGTCAGCAGCCAGCAGACAAGCACCCGTGTGTGACCCGCAGGGAGCACCAAGCCCCCAGAGGCTGGCCACTCAGAGCTCAGGGGGCTATACATCTCTAAAGCAGGGGTTGGCTGGCTTCTGAAAGGGGCCAGGCGATAGGTGGTTGAGTCTGCAGGCCACACTGTCCGTGTTAAAAAGTGTGGGATTCTGGTGTCACAGCGCAAACGTGGCCACAGACAGCGGCATGTCAACAAACACGCGTGGCTGCATGCCAATAAAACTTTATGGACACCGAGTTTTGAACTGCACAGAATTCTCCTGTCCTACAATAGTGCTGTCCTTTTGATTTTTGCTTTTGCTTCAACCAATACAAAAGGTTAAAAAATAAATAAATAAAACTGGACCATACGAAAACCAGGCAGCAGCCAATTCCCTGAGCCAGGCATAGCTGAGTGCAGCCCTGGGGAGTCAGCCTGTGTCCCTGGAGGCCGCCTCATTTGCTAAGCTTCGTTCCTCCTCCTGCCGCCCTGCCTTGGTTTAGATTGGCTCTGCACAAGGAATCAACAAGGCCAAGGCCAGGGGCCACCTCTCAGCCAGGGTTAAGGCTCTGCCCCTGACTCCAGCAGACCCCTACCAGTCGTAAAATACTGAAACCCCTCTGCCATCCTGCTCACCCCTTCCCACGTTCCAGCAACCCAGGGGCTAACAGCAGTCCCAGTGGGGGTTCCTAGGATCCTCAGGGTGCCACCACCCTTCACAAGGGCCCCAGGTGCTGTGGGTGGGATTCCCTGCCTGGCTTCTCTCTAAAGGGCCCATGCTTTCCATCCCTTCTGTTCTGAACCCACCAGAGCCAAGGGCATTATTGGAATTTCCATGGCAGCACTGGCAGCCATAGGCCCACCCCCTAGGTCTGTGCTCAAGGTGGAATCCAGGGAATGAGACAGGTGCCAAGAGGACCTTGCCCCCCCATCCCCACCCCATACATCCCTACCCTCCCCGCCCCAGAGCAGGACACTCAGTGTCTGTCAAGACAGAGGCCTGCAGACAGGCTGAGTGCCCAGGCCTGGGAGCCTCCCACGGGGGCTTACTGAGCACCAGGCATTGGTGCTAAACCCCGCTGGATGTCAGGACCCAGTGTTAGCGAGGGGGCATTCCCTCCCCGAGCTGGCGGCGCGGGAGTGCGGGGTCTCCACGTACTGATGCAGGGGGCGATGGGGGAGCGGCTCTGCTGGTAGCCCTTGGCACAGCGGTTGCAGGTGATGCCCGTCACGCCGTCTTTGCAGGGGCACTGCCCGGTGGTCTGGTTGCAGGTTTTGCCGGCGGCTCCCACGGGGTGGCAATCACAGGCTGTGGAAGACACAAGACAGGAGGGTCAGAGGGGCGGGAAGGGACCCAGGGACCCCACCGTGAGAGATGAGCAGAGATGGGGTGGAGGGCAGGCCCAACCAAGCCCACGCATGTTCCCAGAGCTCTGATGCTGGCCACCCACCCACCTGGAAGTGGACAGTGACAGTCCAGACGGACCAACTTGAAAAGACAGTTTTGGTGACAGCCGGGAGGCAAAGCTGGGGAGCCCGCCTGAAGCCCCAGGGGGAGGGCAGTGTTCAGATGTGTCTCCCCACAGCCCTGCGTGTGCCCGAGTCGGGCAGTCGGGATGTGGCGGTGCACCTGCACCTTCCCCACCACGGGGCAGGTCTGTGTGTTTCGGTCTCTGCCCTCACCTGGCTCCCAGCCCTCCGGGTGAAGAAATGGGGTTTGGGACCTGCTGAAGCCCCCGGGGTCTGCCACATCAGAGGGAGGCTGGGGGAAGTGTGTGCAGGGCCCCACCCCCCCAGGCTGCTGCCTCCAACCCTGCCTGGTAACTTGGTGGTCTGAAGCTTCGGCTTATGGAGCATAAAACCCATCCCCTTCAGCACTAGAAAAGGACACAATGATAATTTACAATTACTTTAAATGTACAAAGACTGGAGAGGCCAAGGAACCTCCCAGGAAGGGAACAGCCGAGCGGGGAGAGGAAGGGCTGTGAGGTCAGTGCCCCTCCCCGCTGGTTCTGATAGGCATGGAGAGCTGGGGTGGCCCACCGTGGCCCGCTGTAGCCTGAGGCCTCCTGCTGTGTGCCTAGGACCCAGTCCCAGGACTGGGAAAGACCATAGTGGGACAGCTCTCCATCACTACCATGATGCCCTGGGCAGGACAGCGACATCAGCAGGTTCATAGCTCCATAGGATTCCCCACTCTACCTGCCCTACCCCAAACCGAGACAGTAGACTCAGTATGGGCAGAGAGGGAAGACAGGATAGAGGAAGCATGTGTTCTGTCAACCCCCCTCCACAATCCAGGAGGCTGGGAGAGGTGGGGGCATTGCCTGCAGGAAGGAATCCTGTAGCAACGTCAACTGGTGCCATAATCCACAGGCCAAAAATAGCCAGGAAAACAGGTGAGAGTAGAGATCTTAAAAAGAGCTGAGTTAGGATTTTCCCAGGAGACACTGCTCAGGGTGAGGGCAGGAGTCTGTTGGTATCTTGGGAGTGGCCAATGAGGAGGCTGAGGAAGAGGAGGGAGGGGAGCAGAAGCGAGAAGAATGTGAGGAATTGTTTGTGGTGGTTGTGTCTGGACAGGCAAATATTTCTAGAAGCACTCAGTGTGAGGGTCCTGGCCGTGGGCACCCCTGTGGGTACAGGGACACAGGGGATGCACGCCCTGGCTCCCCACACTTCAGGAGACAGCAAGCTAAGTGGGCTGCTCCAACCTCATCCCCTACAGAAGGAGAAACACCTGTGTGAGGACCCTGCCCCTTACAGCTGCCCTACTCTCAAGTTCAAGTCCCATTCTGCTTTGTTGAATGTACCAGAATACACACATTTTAATGTTCACTTATTTTCATCTTCTTGAAAGGCACAGAGAGAGAGAGAAAGAGAAAGATCATTTCTTTTTTTTTTTTTTTTTTTTTTTTTTTGACAGGCATAGTGGACAGTGAGAGAGAGAGACAGAAAGAAAGGTCTTCCTTTGCTGTTGGTTCACCCTCCAATGGCCGCCGCGGCCGGCGCGCTGCGCTGATCCGATGGCAGGAGCCAGGAGCCAGGTGCTTTTCCTGGTCTCCCATGGGGTGCAGGGCCCAAGCACCTGGGCCATCCTCCACTGCACTCCCTGGCCACAGCAGAGAGCTGGCCTGGAAGAGGAGCAACCGGGACAGAATCCGGCGCCCCGACCGGGACTAGAACCTGGTGTGCCGGCGCCGCAAGGCGGAGGATTAGCCTAGTGAGCCGCGGCGCCGGCCAAGATCATTTCTATCTGCTGATTCGCTCCCCCAGTGCCTGTAACAGCCTGGGCTCAGCCCATGTAAAGCCAGGAGCCTGGAATTCCCTCCAGGTCTCCTACATGGATGGCAGGAGCCCAAGTACTTAGGCCCCTCTTCCACTGCCTTCCCACACACATCAGCAGGGAGCAGGATGCAAAGCAGAGCAGCCAGGACTCGAACCGGCACTCCCATATGGGACCTGGGCACCCCAAGAGGCGGCTTAACCTGCTGCACCGCAACACCACCCACCCCTGGATTTATTTTTTAATTGAATCTCAGTAAAAAGACAAGACCCATCTTTGACAGCCCGCAGGGACACACCGAGGACAATGGTGGTGCCGACAGGCTGGCTGGAGAGGGCCTGCTGTGTCCCAGTGCTTTCCCTGTACTCGTTCTCTGTGACGGGAAGGCTGTCTGCACGTGGGAAGCTGTCTTGAGCTGGCTGTGCCCAGCCCCACAGGCAGGTGGTGACTCCAAGGGCCCAGGCCAGCTGACCTCCCTTGGCCTGCTGGGAACCCCAAGTTCCACGCCAGGACATTCTCTCCTGGGTGCTGATGGAACACAGCCATGCACCAGTAACTTCTGGGTCCCCGGATGTGGCTGGTGGAGGGAGGTCAGGAAAGGTGGTTCCATCGCTGGGGTTTCGGAACCAAGTCAAGCACTAGCACCAGCCTCAGCCCAGGTCCTCAGTTTCTTGGCGGGAACTGGCCTGGAGCAGCCCCTAGAGGGAGGCTGCCCAGCTGCCTGGGCTGGCACATTGCCGGGAGGGGCCAGGTGCCAGCTGAGGTCTGCCAGCGCCAAGGACCAGCCCAGGGCCCAGCAGGGCCTCTCTGCATCTGCTCTGTGTGGCTGACACTTCCTTGGGGCCCCTCCCTCGTCCAGTGTGAGCCCAGGCTGCCTGCTGGCCTTCCACATCTTTCTCCCAAGATTCTGCAGAGAACCTGACCCATTCGTCTGGGCCAACACAGGCAGCAGACCAGGTGGTGCCTCTGCACCAGCCAATCCCTGTCACAGGCAGAGAGGCCATCAGGGTCCCCAAGGATGGGGGGGGGAGGAGTGGGTCACAGAAGGCCACTCCAGTCACCTTCAGGGTAGCGTGACCACCACTAAGCTTCATTCTGCCCTGTGGCAAAGCATCCCTGCCAGCAGTGTTGCCCTCCGTACGGGCTCCTGCAACCCACCTCAGCACCTCCTCTGGGCCTCACAACAGCCCTTGGAAACTGGCATGGCCACAGATGGGCGAGCACACCACATGCAGAGGTGGAAAGGGCCTGGCTCACCCCGGCCCCTCCCCCTTTCTCTGGATGCCCTCCCCCTGCCCCCCTGCAAGGAGAAATGAACTCCGATCTGTTTTAGCCAGTGCTCTGTTACTTGCAGCCAAATGCAATCCTCACCCACAGACTCGCATTACACTCATTCCCACTTCCCGGCCAAATGGTCACAGAGTAAGATCTTTCCCCTAAAACTCAGCAACAGGGATGGCCCGATTATACCTCCATACAAAGAAGGGTGAGGTTGGTTCAAGGGGTGGGGCAAGTTGATGGATGACCATACCCATGTATACACACATGCATGCACACATACACACTCATGCACAAACATGCATGCACAGACGTGCACATATAATACACATCCAAACACAGTGCACATGTACCCACATGTGTGAACCCATGTACACACACTCATGTACACACACATGCATACACAGTGCATATCCACCTGCACTCACACCTGTACCTACACTCATACACACACACGCATGCACACATGTACTCATGTGGTACACATCCACATACTGTGCACATGCACCCACACAGGCGTGAACCCATGTACACACACACTCATGCACATATACACACTCATGCACACATGCAGTGCACCTCCACACACCATGCACATGCACACACACATGTGTGAACCCATGTATACACACACATACAGAGTCCTACTGGCTTACACCCAAAGACACGCAGACCCACATAGATCCACATGGGCAGGGGCATAGAGGGCAGGTGTGGGATGGGGAGAATGTGGAAGTGAGGCAGGTGGGGGTCTCTCCCCTTGCAGGGGATTCTGGGAAGGGGGAACAAAGAATCTCGCCAGCTCTTATGAGAGTAGGGCCTGAGGCAGAGCAAGGCCTGGGTCTTCCACGGGGAAGCCTGCAGATGACTCCTGTGTCCCTGGAGGTTGGCCTCGTTTTTCCGGGGAAGGTCGATCCCCCCAGGTGGCAGGTCACCCCGGGTGCCTGGGGCAGGCAGCACCTGGCCATGGGAAACCACCTCTCTGGAGTCTTTTCCAACAAAAAGGTGAGAACAGGCAGAAGCCAGGTCCCTGAGAAGGCAGCAGGATCAGGTTTCCCACGAGCCTCCCGGTGGGGCAGGGAGCCCAGACTGGCCTTGCCCTGGGTCGTCACCCAGCCCTGGCTCTGTCAATGACCCTGGGCTAGCGCCTTCCTCTCTGTGGACTGCAGGTGGCTCATCTGTAAGGGCAGAGGTCAACGTTCCCACTGACGTCACTTCCAACCTAACAGTCTATGGCTTTGTCTCACATTGCCTCCAATGCTGCATGCTGGCACTGTCACCCACGATGCACACGGGCACTGTCACCCACGATGCTCCCATGCACCACAGCGTCCTGGCCACAGGGCAGGAAACAGCGCACACCAGGCTCCTGAACACACCTTCTGAAGCTCTGCCCAGCACCAGCTCCTGCCTGCATTGTGCTGGAACCTCCTCGTGTGGAGGCTCTTGACCAGGGACTTCTGAAAGCCCTCTGCAGGCTCCTCTCCCTGCTGTTCTCTGTCCTGGGCCCACAGTTACAGGCCAGAGGCTGCCTCCTGCCACTGCCCCTTCACACCAGGTCTTTCTGGACGTCTGTCCCGGGCTCCTCTCAGGAGGTCTAACTATACTTCCTGAAGACCCTGGCTCTGGGGCCCCGAGTGCTCAGGCAGGACCCCCACACTGCAGCCATCTCAGGAGGAGTGGCAGGGACCCCCAACCTCCAGACAGCATCACATCCATCCATCACCTCTGCCTCTGGCTTGGCCCCT